TGTGCTTGTGCCCTGGCAGTCTAGGCGGAGAGGCAGCAGTAGCTGCAACAGCTGATACCACTCTGCATTTGCACCCTCAGCAAGGAGTTTCTGGCTAGCAGCTGTGGCTGGGTGCACCATCACGAGGTCTCTGCTGTGGGTCAGGCCAAGGTAGGCTGTGCGACCTGCTCCAGCCAGCAAGCTGAGGCAGAGCCTGGGGCGTCTACTCTGGCCTGCTGTCCTGTGGGCGAGCGAGACAGCGGTGATGCCATGCTGCTGCCGCTGATGTCCAGGCACTTCTTAGATGGAAGAGAGTCAGAACAAGGTCCTCATAATTCTCTTGAAGACAAGGTGGGTCAAGCAGCACTACTACTGGTTTCCTCGGGCTTTCCTGGGTGTCCTGCAGCACAGTGGATGAACAGGAACGATATAACCTTGCTCTAGGCTCGGTGCTTGGGTGAATGACATTAGAGAGGCATAGACAACCACAGATCTGAGAGATTAGAGGTTAAGAGAGGAACTGGGTGAAGAGCAGGGAGTTTGTCTGATCCTCTCGGAAGGGCAGCAGGTGCTTCAATAACATTTCATTTCTGAAGGAGGTAAAAGAGGAATCCATTAAGATGTCACACATTATTCTTGTCCTGCCAATCTTCATAAAGACAAACAACTCTGAAAAAGAGCAATTATATAGTGTTTCTCTAACTTGGCATTCACCAGCTTCAATCAGCTAGAAGTGCAGCTGACCTTGCCGTCTGCCCTGAATAGGGTGCAAACCAAACGCCTTGTAATGCAGAGCGTGGGCCATCTTTGCTTTCTCCCGTCAGCATTTTGGCAGCCATCTGCAGTACACAAAGTGCAGAAGCAGCCACGAAATGATACTGTAATATTAACTGTGGTAAATGAAAGGGAGGTGAATAAGGATCAGTCATGTAACCAAGCTTTTGTAGTTGGATGTGCAGCTTTGTTTACTCATAATAGCTGAAGGGAAACAAAACACTAGTTTAGGCGGAGCGTCCCAAGGCAGCCGGGGGAGACTGCTAAGCACTACAGCAAGGGCAGCAGTGCGGGTGTCAGAGCAGAGGCCACACAGTCCAGCCCAGCAGCTGCCTGCTGACCGTGGCCAAGACCAGGTGCCCATGGAAAAGCACAAGGATGGTGAAAGCCCCGAGTGCCCCCTTCCACCCATGCTCCCAGCTGCCAGTACAGTATGACTCAAACATTTCTTATTCATATACACAACTTCCAACAGTTAAGAGCAACATAGAGTTTCAACTCAAGGCATTGCTGATCTACTCTCATTTCAATAACCACATATTTGGAGCGGGGTTGGGGCAGGGGGGACAGTGTCCTTTTTCATCTTCCTTTAACTACAGCATTTTTATTAAAAAAAAAAAAAAAGAAAAAAGAAAAAAGAAAACCATCATGGGCCACCAATGTTTTTGAAGCTGTTAACTGACCTTCTTACAGAAAGAAACTAGTTGAACTGCTCTATGAATGCGCTTTCCCTGAAAGCAGAAAAGCAAGCTCATGCAGATGATGACAGAAAAGTATACTACCCAACTCCACCAAATATTTTTAGTAGGACAGTATCTATGCCATACTGAAGATGTTATTTTCAAAAATGAGTTATCATTTACATGAGAAATAACTCAATTCCAGTTTTATCAATTCACATATTTGTGCACTGTGCAACAAAGCTTGAAAAACATGTTAGAGCAAGATAATTGTCTTCCAAATTGTCTTTTAAGTTGAAAAAGCTAGGATGTCAGTTATTTGCCTGGTTCGACTCATAAGTTGTTGCTGGAGGAACACAAAAGTAGCTTGTTCTCGGAGGGCTTCTTTGAGTGGCTAGAAAGCCCACGTGCTGGGTGAAGGGAGCAGTTTGTTTGCAGTCTGACAGAGTTGTTTATACTAGTGGTGCTTTTAAACAGCGTCTCAGTATCCAACCTCATAGCCAGGTTGCGAAAAGTTGCAGTTTTGGCCAGCGTCTCAGGGAATGGGAGAGAAGACGAATCCATAGCTTGTATTCTGCATGTTGTGCTGGGTTAGTGGGGATGGCCACTGCGCTCTCCTTCGCAGTAAGGCACATATACCACTCATACCCAATACGCTTGGTTTTTTGAACGTCACTTGGCGTAGCTGACAACAGATGTAAGCTTTTGGGGAGACTTTTAATGAAGCGAAGAAGGCTAAGCACACTAGGAGAGAAGGCATCACAAACCATCCTCTTGTAGGCTTTTTATTTGTAAAATATGAGTCCATTTTCTTTTGGAAACTGCATGCAGAATCGCAGTCTTTCCAGCATGTTCTGGCCAAGGAGCTTCTAAAGCTAACTGCATTTTAAGACCTGTGGTTTTTTTTTTTTTTTCCACCCCTCTCGTAAATCACTATTTTTAACTAGTGTCCATGACATCATTAAGTGGAAAAATCACTTTGCTGGTAGGGATTCATTTTAGCTAGCTGTTCCTTTAATCCTGCCAAAGACCTGTAACTGAGTTTTATCTATGCAACTACGTTTTGTGTCCTCTAAGTGGACACAAAAGAGGACAGTGTTAAACAGTGGGACTGGAGGGACTCAGCACATCAACTTTCTCCTCTTCCTGAAACAAGACTGTGGATATGCTACCTGTAGGTGTCAGTCCTGTACTAAAAAATGGCCAATACTCAAGTCAAGCAGCTGAAGGGTTGTGTGTGTGTGTCTGTGTCTGTGTTTTAATTAAAGCAATCTCACTTAATAGTTGTTTTACTTTAAAAGTCAAAAATTATCCAAGTTTACCCTGTCTCCACAGAGCAAAAGAGGCAGAACTCAAGATGCATTGTTATCATATGTAACAAGCTTTTCACAATATCTGTTTTTCTTTCATTCTCAGTAATACTGAGATTAAAGAATTAGTTTCAAATGATCAAAGCTGGGTGCTCCTCAGCTAGCCCAAGACTTCAGCAGCAGAAGCAGCCTTCTGCCTCCTTAACTTCATATGTTCATCACTTATTTTTCTTCACCGTTGCAATCAGACTCATAGACAGTAATACACTATCAAATAAAATACGACCTAGAACTTCTATTCCAAAACTAAAGGAACTGTCATATTTTCTCTCAAAATAAGAGAACTGCTGAAACAAGCTTTTCTGTCTCAAGTCGTGGTATACCATGATGCTAACAATAAATAACAGTTTCACATAGAAGAGTTTGTTACAGAAATTTGCTAAAAGAGAATCAGGAAAGGCTATTGAATTGCCTGTGCTTTTGACGCTGCTCTTTATTTTCAGGGTAGGGGGAGAAGGGAAGAAAACTGTTTGGTTGCTGAACTAAAATAAAAATCAGGAGGGAAGGGGGAGTGGATCAGATTTTATATGTGAAGCCAGCTCTATATGAGTAGGTCAGCTAGACAGGGTGAAACGTTTTTATCGGCAGACTTAATTACTAAATAGGGGACTACACTAGAATAAATAAATAATATATAATAAATTGGATAAATAATTAACAGTGAACCTCAGTGGTTAAATTTTATTAAATACATTTAACAGTAACACATCAAACAGACGTAAACTTAGTTTAACTATATTAATGCCAACATGATAAAAAGATGGTATTCACATTAGAGAAACAGGCTTACCATATCTGTCACATCTCAGCTATTGTTACAAAATTGTTACGTAGCACTATAATGACCTGAATTAAAAAAAAAAAAAAACTGCAAAGAGCTTGTTAGTCATTCCACTCATCTTACTCAAAGTGTTCTAAATTTCAGAACTGTGAAGTTTGATTCTTTGCAACCTACTGCAGTGGTACAATAGATAAGCAATAAATTAGCTTTAATACAAAGGCAGTAGTTTGATGATTCAATCAATGTGTGGCAGAACATGCAGACTGTTGCATGTGTTGCTCTGTAGCAAAATGCAGACTACAGAAAGTTCCCAAGTTCAAAACAGACTTCTTGTATGCATGTGAGTCAAAACAGGCAACAGAAAAGAATATAGCAGTAAAAGCATAAAACATTGCTTGGAAGAAGATGCACATATAAAGCAATGGCTAAGAAGAGTGGTTGGCCACACACTGCTCTCAAAAAAATATTCAAAGCTCTTGTTATCCATCAAAAGATATAGTCATTCATATTTGAAACAGACAGAACTTACACTGAACAGTTCAAGGAAGGCTTACTAGCTACAGTATTACGTTGCTCAGTTATCTGTGTAAGAACGAATACCAGAGTTTTCAAAATGAAGAAATTCTTTCATTCGATGGTTTGAAGTGAGCACAAATTCTGTAAAAATGAAAGGCTGACCATGTACCAGAGATTTGACCCTAATACAGTGTTAGACTCAATTTATGAATTGCAGGGGGCAGTAACTGATCTTGCTAACTACTGGAACACTGAAACTGCAGGTAAGTAAATAAGGTTACGAATTTAGGTCTAGGATTTGGCAGTTTGACACAGTTCTTAAAAACAAAACAATAGATCTTCTAAAATTCTAAAGGCTTTTAAAAACCCGTTTGTTATAAAAATAATGACCCAGGAAGTGTTTTATGGTAAGAATATTTTATATATATATTTTACACTTTTAACACTTACAAAAACATTCAAACACAAAAAAATTAAATAACTTTGGAAGCAGAACAAGTCTTTCTGCCTACACACATACAACAATTCCGAGCTGTTGGCACAAAAAGTAATCCACATTCATAAAACCCTTACTACTATATCAAACATAAGTTAAGTAAATCATAGGCACTAGTTTATCAAATCCATATTTCCACACTTCTGCAGTATATCTCTAAACACGGAGCCCCACAGTTTCCTGATATCAATAAACTGGTAATGCACAAAGGCTTTCTAGTAAACAGACAGTTTCTCTTTTCAGGAAGTTGTTAACTATGTTTCAGGGGGAGTAGAAGAGCAGAGAAAAGAACGCTTATAGAAGTTAAGCTCAACTTATTCTCCAAGTGATGAATTACTTAACTTAAGGAAACACAATAATTTGATGCAGCCATGGTAAAACCCCAGTATCTTCATCTAAACTAACTTTCCAAATTTAAAAGTTAATTAAGTGTTTAAAAGAATCCACCAATTAAAATCTTCCTCTTTTCAATGACGACTGCAACATTGCTTTGTAAAATGCTGAAACGTTAAAATTTGGACTTCAATGAGAATAGGTATGTTTGATCTAGTCCTCTCTTCTGCTTAGTAGTTACACGAGATATTTACTAACTGATCTCCATTATCTGTGCCAGAAAACGGCACAAGGCTAGATTAGTGGTATGTACTGGTCTAGTGGTAGAAGGTAGGATTTTTACCCCTGCTGAAATCTTATTGAATTACAGTATATTTGATACCCTGACTTCAAAGTCTCAGCACAGATCTCAGTTTGGAGTGTGAAGTCATTAGTCAATCCAAAGTCTGCCTACAGCTGCTTGAGTAATTAGAGCTGCAAACTAGTCTCCTCTCCTTCCTATTTGGCTTCTTCCAACTCAAGTAGTATTGCATGGCTTTTCATCCAGGAATACGTTAATGCTGGCCTAAAATTCAAGTGCTAGAATTTCAGGATTAGTAATCCTCTTAGTGGTGGGAATCAAAGCACACCAGCAGTTCACAACTTTGATGGCAATGGGGCTGAAGGCTACCTACCGTCCAATCCAACTTTTAGTGTTTGTCAGTCATTGCACAAAGTACACCCATTCACGTCCTGTTACTTCATCAACTGTACATCCAAAATACTAAAAAAAGCTTCAAACAAAATCCCTTCCATTTAACTCTTCCCACCCAATACGTTACAAATGTTTGCGTGACATCTTCCGAAACAGAAAGCAATTGTTCAAATGCTAATTATATGAATGAGCTCTTCTGACCAAGATGTGAATGTTAGAATATGTCAGAGCCACCAGAGGAATTTAATAGTTTGTAAACAGATGTAGCAGGTTTCATACTCTGTTACCAGTAACGTAAGATACACATACGTAAGGCAAAGTACATATTTAAACACACTTACATGGGCAATAGCTTCTGTAAAAATATTTACAATTTAAAATAAACCAATTTAAGAAATGGATGAAAGTAAAAAAATAGGATACAGAAAACTCCCTCATACCATGGAATATCACCTAAATGAATATCATTTGGCATAAAGAGTACAACTCATTACCTTGGAATTTGTATGTTACAAGTGCATAGTTGTGTTTCCTTCTCGTTAACTATCAGCATTTACAGTTGTGTTCCAGGCTGTAAGCATAGTGGTATGGTATTAGAACAAATTAATAGTACTACTTGCTCTTCGCTTTCTAAGGAAACCTGCTATAAAAAAAAAAGTTTTCTCCAAATAGCAAGCCATGTGTTAAAAATGTGGCTACAATAGCAAAGGCCATCTTTCCTGAGCAAGGAATTTAAGGTTCAGAAAGATTGTACAACTGATACTAAGCCCTTTTGGCAATCGAACTCATAAGAGCAAGTAAAACTGATATGTCAAATCAGCATAGGAAAGATGCAATTTATACTATTGCATTTGTGTATGTCTGCTACATTCAAACTTTACTGATTTAAAAAAAAAAAAAAAAGCCATAAAGCCATGACTACTATTTACTGTTCTGCTTAATCCTCCAGAATAACTTCTGATTCTTTCTGAAGGATGTACGTACCACTTTCCCCAACAAGAATCTTATACAATTGTTAAAATCAATGTTCCACTAGCACTGTAGCATTCTGCAATCAGACTATTAGTTCTGATTAATTTAGTCTTGTTTCAATCGTACATATTCACCACTCTCTCTGCTGAATTAAAACAGACTGAAGTTTTGGACAACGTAAGTTGGCTGTTATACTTGCTGTTTTTCAAGATGGGCATTTCTTTGGCATTCGTAAGGTTTTTGCCCAGACATCGGCCACTGTCATAAATGCTCAAATTGATAACACTTTTAGCAAGCAAGGAAAAAAAACCCAACAGAACTGATAGCAATTTCATGTAAAAGCGATTGTATGATCACCAAACATCTGATGTTAGATGTCATTAAAGTGCTGCTTTATAATCTCTGCCAGTTTGTGCTAATTAGAGACAGAGAGGTCTGAGATTTTTACAAATCCCAAAAGTCACATCTGAACAGTCTGTATAATCAAGCTGTTTTTTAGCCTGGTGAGGAAATATCCATGAGCACTGGAACTTTGCAGCTCAGTAGCAGCCATCTTTCCAACTCTCATCTTTCATGTTGCCATACGTTTTGGGAGCAGGTAATGATCTAAAACAAAATGAGATTTATTTCAGTTTCATACTAAAATGCTCAAGTCTCCATCCACAATACCTAGGAACCTAAGAAGCATTTTCAGTTTAAGGTTTAATGTTTTACTATATGTTGATAAAATTAACTTCAGCGTCAGAAAAATATCATCATAAATGAACAGAAAACTTCTTGTTATTGTACTCTAGGAGAATACAAGTTTAATCAGCTGACATTTAGAAATAGGCCATTTTTCCAGTGATGTATGAACAGGGAAATTCTTGTTTAAAGTATTACATTTTGCTTATGTCAAAGTCTTCACAAAGTTTACAGATACTGCATTATTAAATTGTGTGCCTAAACTTTCCAAAAAAATAGCTGTGTATATTTAGTAAGTGAAACTCTTTACTGTAAGACTGGTTGTGATTAGGGCAACGATACTTCACTAGTATCAAGAACTTCCTGTCAAAAGAACTGCTTTATATTACACTAAGTTTCAGATTCAGACACAGTGCAAGACAGTCAATACTGTGACAGTCATTTGTCATTCCCAAAACTCGTTACAGAACGGAACTCCTCCACTTTGTTATTTATGCCTGTTTCATCCAGTCTGTGATGCTGGAGACCAACGGTTTATCCTTTTGTTTAAGGCGATTCTTACTGTTCCTTACGGATGACTGCTTCCTTTGTCAGCTGGCTTTCACATGACACCCTCAGTGAAAACCTACATTAGCAATGCATCCAATGGCATTAGGAGCACATACTCTAAATTTATGCACTGCTTCCTTCTGATTCTCCTGAAGACAAACCGTCTGTGCAGCCTTTCCATTTAATACTAAGTCTCTTGTGCTTGTTTTCCAAAACACTCTGACATTAAGCAACTTCCACAGCTGGATGCTAACACAGAGGTGGTATTTGAGTTGAAAATTTTGTTTTGTCCTATGACTTAACTGTTCTGATCTTTATGTTAAGTTTAAAAAAAGCTGTGGATGCCTCCTCTGCTCTTAATATCTCTTCTTAAAGTTTCTTGTTGTACAAGAAGAGAAGCTGTTCTACTGTGGTGCCACCGCTTGACATCTGGATTACAAAAGGCACTTAAATAGTTCTGACTTTAGTACATGTTACTCAGCAGGATAAATGAATTTTCACCTGCCAGCTACATTTCGATGACTTTTTAAACTCTCAGTTTTGTTCCGAATTTGTTTTGGAAACATGGGTAAATACTTCACATGGACATCTCCATTTCCATTGTTTCTAAAGACCTTGAGACCAAAAAAGAACTACAAGAAGCAGCAGCACAAATGTACAGGGTACGAAATTCATTTAAAAAAAACTTCGCATTAAGATGGCCTTGGTCATATACTCACCTGCGAACAGGCTGTGCAAGTTTGCTGCGAGGCACTGGGATGCCCCCAGTAGAAGGGGCACTGGGTCTGGGCAAACCACTCCTCATCCCTGCCGTCCCTGCTGGTCTGGTAAGAGTAGTACTGTTAATACTGTTGGCAGGGCTTGGCAAGCCTGAACTCTGAGCTGCAAGAGGCCCTGGTGAAGAACTACTGTGTGTCAGCTGTGCAGCTTCTGGAGAAGCAACAGAACCAGGTCCGTGGTTACTAAATGCTTTCACTGGTTGTCGGAGAGCTAGGGGAGACGGTGCTGCAGGTGAGCGGAATTTACTTGGAGAAGGTACTGGAAAATAAAATACAGAAGTTACTTTCAACCTGAAATTACAGTGTAACTGATAAATCAAAAACAGGAAGCGACTTTATGTGAAAATTCAAACAATATGGAATGTATAATGAAATACAGCCAATCAAGCAGCAATGAGAAACAGGAATTCAGATGTCCTCTTTGTCATGTGTTTTTGATATCATAACTCTAACACTCCATTTGCTTACTCTGAGTGTTTACCTGGATTTAGAAGTAGTAATAGTAAGCCTCTAACCATTATATAAGACCGATAAGTTAAAAAAAGAGGTGAACGAATTTGTTCAGAAGAAATTTAGCTTTTTAAGACACATGTGAACCAAATTCCCATTCCTGAAATTTTCCGTGTTCAAGAATATAGGATTCTAGTGTGTTAAAGTGCATATTAGCCTTCAATGATGAAACTGTCAGAGAGCAGGGCATCTTAATGTTTCCTTTATGCTTTTCTTTTTAACCAAATCCATTTAATTAAGATCAGCTAATGATATGATCAAGTTCAAAAATTATTATCTGAAGGGGAAAAAAAACAGGGCCAGCCAGCCCCCAACCCCAAAGAGGTTAAAATACTAGGCTATAAAGCTATGAACCTCAAACCAGGCAACTATGACAATTTACAGCCTTCTTCTTACAATCATTATCTGCATTATCAGTATCACTAACGCCTGAATTCAAATACTTTTTATCAAAGTTAGTGTGTAACATGCAGACTTTTAACAAGCCCTTTCTGGGAAAGCTTATATGCTAGTGAAAATCCATTTACAGGTTTAGTCTTACTATGCAGCACATCATGCAAGCCCTGAATACAAGATGTATATACAAATGTACTCCATTAACAACTTCTTTTGAACAGTATGTCTATTTTTCTCAATGCTATTAATGTAATAGTAAGAGGTCTTATTTTATACCTAGGAATTAACTTCTGATTTTTATTAGACAGCTAGCAATGAACAACAGAACTGATCATCATAGCAAGATACTGACAAAAAGTAATGCTAAAGCTTAAGCACTTTTCTTCAGGAGTAACAGAAATGTTTTCAAAATATGCATAATGTATCACTAAACAGAATACTTAAACTAATCCATCTTCTTAATACTTAAACAAAATGTCACCAGCTTTTCAAACCGATTAGGGTGAGATTCAGGAACAGCTGACACTGGGCAATCAATTCAATCAGGAAAATACATAAAATTAGATTTACATTTAGTGAACTTGCATGAACTATTATTTTCTCCATTGAATAAATTTATTTACGCAGAGACCAAAGTTGAGTTCTCTGACAGATGCTGTAACAGAAGTGATGGTCCTTCACAAAGCTTTTACTATTATTTTGAAAGCTAGATCCACTAATAATGAAAAGAGTAGTAATGACAGGAACATGAGACCCCAAATGTGGTACAGGAGAAGTGTTCAGGTTGTGTTTTGAAGTCATTCCTGATAGGGCATACGGAGGAAGTTTAATAGGTGCTTTGTTACAGATGCAAATCTTGAGGGATTGAATGACTTTCTGGATCACCCAAGAGGGCCTTTCCACAGAGAAGCAGCGATACCAAACACAGCTTGAAGCCGCTCAAGTGAAAAGTTGACAAAACAGGTGATAGAAATGTCAACAATACATGACAGTTGGTAAGCAGTGAGGAGAATAAATAAAAACCCTTAAAATAAAAAGCTTGGGGTCAAGCCAGAGGATGGATTAAGGAAAGCATTAATAGCAGAATGACTGGACAAGAACAGCAGCAAAGTTCTAGTAGGATTAAGACAGATTACATATTAGAGGTTTTTGAAATGTGACATTGCCTGCAACACTAGTGTAATTGAATCTGTAGAATTTCCAAGTGATTCTACAGTTTAAACATAGGGAGCTTTTATCATTGTACTTCCCATTATTACACCTGCTGGAACTCACATATAACGTCATGTTAGCAACGGAGCTGCAGAACAATACTAGTATATAAAAACTGAAGACACTTTACCTTTGGGCCTGCTAAGGGCTTAGTACACTCTTAGAGGCACAATGGGGGAAAAGGTTTTAGATACAGAACATAATCAATGGAAAGTTAGAACGGAACAAAGTTTGTTATATTCCAGTGAAAGCAAGTATCCAGTAAATTAGGCCTCTCCGTTCTCCAGTGTTCTCTTGACCATATTTTACCAGACTTCCAACTTGAACTGTCAGTTCATAAAATGTTTCCTGTCAACACAGCATTGCAGGCATTTCTGAGAGCTGTATTCATTCTTTGACAGAAAAGAATGAATTGTCTTCTAATGAGCTGTGATCGCCAAAGCAGTCTACATGATGCAGTCACTGGCAAACTGCCTCGTAATTCTGTTCTACACATAAAGAATTCTGTCTTAGAATAGTTTTGGATATTTAATAAAACTCACTTTGGTCTATTTAACATGTAAGACGGGATCACAAGGAATGAGATATTGCCCTCGTCAAAGTCTATCCATTATTTTATTCCCATGCGCAGTACTGAGCTGATAGCTTTTAATAAAAATATGTAGTGATTGTGTTTAACAACATTACATAACTCCATCTCCTTAGAGACTAAACAACTAGAATCAGGTATAATTAATATCTCTGTCAATAATAAAAATGTATGGAATTGTGCAGTGATGACATTTGGATTTCCCACCCTCTCAGAGCACCGTCCTTGACTGTAGCCAGGGTGATCCTCACCTGACAAAGTAGGATGCTTTGAGGCTACAGATGCCTGGATTGCATCCCAAAGCCAGCTGCTGCACACTGATTTGACCACTTTTCCAAAAACAGAATTGATTCTGATATAGTTTTTAAATCATACCCATCATTATGAGATGGTTCAGACTGATGGGAAAGAACAGATGAGATCAGACAATGGGAATCAATAGGCTGTTCTGTTATCTGACTGATACTAGATTGCTACATAAGCCTCAACGAATCTGTTACAGTGAGGTGGAGAATTTGTTATGTGAATGTATTTTGGACTCTTTTACAGAAGATGGTAAAAAAATGCCAAACTTTTTGCGTGAAGGTTTTAATTTATGTAACGAACAGCATTTTAAGGAACTAAAATGCCCATTTTTTTCAGTCACTTACCCTTTTGAAACAAAAGTTGTTTTTCATATTGCATAATGCTTCTATAACCATAAGACTCTCAGATCAGACACAAGAAAATAAAGACACCAAGGACTATAAAACAGCAATTAACTGAAAAAGTCATGCTGGGTTCTCATTCCCAATGACAGCAACTAGAAACAGGAACGTGCAACTGGCAGGGCAGCGCACTCAGTTCTTAATTCTCTAGGGTTTAATAAAATTTTACAGATAATATCAACTCAAAGACAAGTTGCTTTCTGCACAGGTTTCAACAGCTCCGAACTAGACCATCAAGCTAGAAAGTTTTCTAGACATCCTGATGAAGACAAAGACACAGCCACTGGAGAGGCAGCACAGCAAGCTTTGTGCAGGAACAGAGATGGCAGCCTTACCCCAAAGCAGAACACTGAGGGAACTTTTTCCATTGGCTAAGAAATATTTTGAAGACTGTTAGAGACTTCTGCTTAGCCCTGTTAACCTGTTTCAAGGTCATTATGTTTTGTTATTTAAGGGAAAGACAAGAAAGTAAAACTTCCTACACGGAATAAAGTTGACTAAAGTCAGCACTGTTAAACCAGTGACAGAAAACACATACGTTCTGTGGTCCACTTTCAGTATCTACGTGAAGGATTCCTGTAATCCTTCATCTAGTATACATATAGCTTATAAATTAGTGATAAGCGAAACATGATCTTAAAAATGAGATCTTCTACGTTTTAGCAGACAACAGGACTAACTATACGTAAAACCAAAAACATGAACTTGCTTTGTCTCGCTAGTGAAACAGAGGTCATGTATCATGTATGAGGCTGCCAGAATTTAATTAAAAATCAGTTAAAATTTGTTTGATTGGATTAGAGACTCAATTATTTCATTTTCTTCTCAAAAGGAAATGAACTTCAGCCATTAGTAACCTGGAATATTACATACAAGAGTCTCCAATTCCTTGACAAAAAAATATAAATCTAAATTATGCTGTATCTGAGGGATAATCTTCGAGTTTTGAGAGGAAAAGGGAAAACACAAGCAGGTATACGTGTGTGTATAACTCAAGTTGACATTCTAGGATAATCTTCTCAAGGATTTTCTCTTGTTTCTAGCATAGAGTAAAGGATATTTTCACTTGCCCGAGTATTTTTCCAAATCAGAGAAAGAACAATTTTTGTTGAGTTTTACAAACCGTAGGTTACAATCAAAAATATTCCTATCCAAATACAGCCTTATTGAATATGGCTTCAAAAATCTGCTTTTCTGATCCAAGCTTCTTGATTCATTCTAGAAGTCACCAGTCCTTGGATTTTATATTAATATCATGTTTAATACTTTTTTTTTTTGTAATGATGCAGGGCTGTGTTTTAATATTCAGATAAAAAAGTTATGTACTCTGATACAGCAAGGTCCACTCACTTAATCTTTACATGCAACAGTGTTTTTATTAATCTAGAATGTGCAAGATTTAACATAGGTGAACAATTATCTGAGATTTGCTGGAGCTTTATAAGAGGTCGTTAAGTTAATTACCTCCTTTTGTAGATGGAGTTTGAAGAAACTGTTTGGTTTTGAAGGCAGCACGAGGCAAATTTTTCTGCCTTTGCAGAGCTGTTGAAAGACAAGAAGCGTTATATTTGTCTAGAAAGATAAGAAAACTAAATTTACTGGGAATTTCAGAATTGCATCTGCTTGTGAAAGCATCAAGGAACAGAGTGAGTGAAATACATAACAGTTTTCAAAACTGTTATGACTCTGGAAGAGAAGGGTTCTTTTTTTTTTTAATGGTGCTTGCTCTTATTGGCAAAGAGTTACAAAAGGAGCGTGTCAGAAATTTTGCAGTGCAAAATGCGCAGATTCTGCAGGAGTAAAGAAGCTTCTTGCAGGGCAAAAAACCCAGAAAGGCAAAAAAAATTAATATACCAAAGGGAGAACAAGCCACCCAGCAAACATGCCACAGCAATATGAGTGCAAGATTAGGTAAAAAGATGAAAACTAAGCTGTCAGATTTGACCTAGCAAGACTAAACTTTTCATTTGAAAGCAGTTTTCAAAACAATTATTCTAATACTGTACAAAAGCACAAATCCTAGTCTAAAAGTGATCACTATATAAAAACAAGTTACATTTTGCAGGTATGCATACTTAAGCAATTTTAAGAGGTTTCTGTGCTTTTCCCAAAAGGTATACAAAAAGAACTCAAACTTAACATGAAAAGACACAAAACCCAAGATTATCAGCTGCCAGCATGAACGGTACGCCAAAAACTGTTTGTTTTTTTTTTCATTGTTCCTGTGCCCTGCCTTTTTTCTAGCAATGTTCAATGACTGATACTGCCTTGAAATGACCTTACTGCCTACAGATTTCCAAGAGAGAAGCCAGTAACCCAAGAGCTGCGGAAACTTGGCAAAGAGAGAATTACCTATGGCCAGAAGGAATGCATGAATTCAGCGTATTTTCATTGCAGTGTATTTAAGGCGGGAGGAAAGAAAGTTGTCAATGAAATAAAGCCTTGCCTTCACAAAGGCTTGTACAAATAAACATCTCTGCTCACCTCAGCGTATAGAATTTATGCCAGCATAAAACTGATAGCACTAGTAAGGCTTATTTCCATAGTGAGAGGGAAGAAAGATGGGGGACAGCTATGTAATAAAGTAAAGTAAAGATCTTTATCTTCCCCTGCATATGGAAGCAAAGTAATCCTAACACAAATTGGTGAATATTGTAATAAAGAAGGTAGGAGGAGGAGCAGTTAGAATCACATATTAGTTAGTCCTTATTTTCTAAACTTGATATATTGCCACCACTATTCCCATCCTTCAGTAAGCGCAAAATTCACAATAATTTGTGAACTACAAAAGGATTGCATCATGTTTTATCTTCATCCTGAAAACACGACTAGGTCTATTAACCTATTAATTAACAAAAAAACTATTTTCAATAAATATCAAAAAGGAAATAAGCGTTTATAAAAATGATACAGTGTTGCCTCTCGCCTATTAAGAGCAAAAATTATTTTTTCTACCAACTAGATTGCAATGGCAAAAGAAGTATGAGGCAATATACAGTTCTTGGCATGCGGTCTTGCTATAAACTTCTTTCTAAGGCATGCCCATAAGCAGTCGATTAAACACCGTAAGCTGTTTAAAAATGAGCACAATTTCTAAATCAGTTTTCTTAAAGGAATTTAGTGAGGCAGACCACTGGCCACAGTGTTTCTGCCCACAAGTATTCCATAATACCATTTTTTTACTGAATCAGTGTTTTTGTTTTACCGCATAAAATCAAGAACAGCTTTTTCCTTCATATATATGATCATGAATTTAGTTTGCTCTAATTCATTCAGTTAGATTTAAATATGCTACTGTATATGGCACTAAGGTTCTTCCCCCATTACTATTTACATTATTTGCAAGTCAGAGAAGTGGGATGATATGGAAACGATTTCAAATACATGTATCGAATTCCTGCCTTCTCAATGGAGACTCCAGGAAAGTTCTTGATCGCTACATAATTTTGTTAACTACATTACTGAAAAGAACTTTGGACAGTGCAATTAGAATAATGCCGAGAAAACATGCATTTTATAAGATAAGCGTGGAGTGCAATGATGCCACACTATTTGCTGCTCTAGAACTGCTTCGTATACTACTATGTTACCTGTCACCAATGGTGCATGCTTAAAGTATAATACTGAATAAATGTAGTTAACGCTTACTTCAGATCAACCAAACTTGAATACTCGCTTTCCTCAAATATACCCTTCCTTCTACTCTGAACCTGCTAAGCAGCTATCTCTTGGAAAACACACTACAGTTACTTTACTGATAGATCGAACAATCAACAGCTTACCTTTCTGACCAAGTATTATATTTAACTCTGCTTTAGGATTTCACATCCCTGTGCTAACAGGGCTAGGTAAGTGAGAAAGCATTGCACACTCAGTCCACTGCAAAGCATATAGCACCTATGTGGAAACCAACTTAGAACTTCTACAGCTTTGCATAATCTACGTGGCAGAGGACCTACATAGAACAGTCTTCCCACAGACGAAACACTTGAAGGTTTAGAATAAAGATACCTATTCCTTGGAGAACACAAGTCAAGTATTACTGTATCTTCCCATCCTTTAAGGTGAAATATTTAATAGCTTTTTACACAAAAATTCTTTTCTGCATAACAGCGTGGAGAACCAGAGATACATGAAAAGTTTAATAGTTACAACTAATGTGTAATTCACTCCTTTTTAAACAGATATTATATTATAAATCATCAATAGCTGCTCACAGTAAATATTTCTGTGGTACACTGTGTAGTAAATGAAATCATTTTTAAAGAAAATTTAGATTTTTCACCAAATTAGAGCTTAAAACTTAAAACAGCAAATGTCTTCACATTTTACAGTTGTATTTCTAAATATATAATAATTTAAATATTTTCCCTCTGCTCTTTATGTAACCGTAAGAGGAGTTGCCTATTCAGAAACTTACTGGATTCCTAACTCATTTCTGTATGCCAGCACCCATAGCAAGTTCAGTATTGCAGCCACAGCAAATGTGCAAGTAAATTATGAACAGCAGATCTTTGACAAGGAGAAAAGTAGTGACTTTGGGTGGCAAGCCAGCATCCTTGCAAAGGTAAGCTCATGCAAAACTAGCAGGTACATGGAGGAAGCTTTCAATCCCAAGACCCAGAAGTCATTGCCACAGAAAAAAAAATTTGCTGCAGTTTAACAGTGCTTTGTGCAAGGTGAGAAAATATAAAACCAATGAAACAAAAAGTGTACAATACAAAAGATAAAATTCTAGAAACGTTTATACAATATACAGTTTTGCAGATTTTTTTTTAAATCCAGACTAAGCAAAGATACTTACTTCATTGACTTCATACACAAACCGTTTTACGATTGTCAATAGCAAGACTCTGACAAACATCTGTAAGAGCAGGGAAACTGTAAAAGCTAGAAATCTGGCCTTTATTAATGATATTTAACTTACATTTAAATGTAAGTTGTTCTATAGTAGTTCACATTTGGGGAAAAATTCACACAAAAGGCAAGCAAATTTACCTAATAATTTCCATGTTTCTCAATCCATCCACTAATTAAAAAAAACTATATATGTATAAAACATAAGTCACACTACATTGGCTCCTTCAGTGAACTCACTCACTAAATATTGAATATTCAGACTTCTGCTGCCTAATCTTCCTATGAAGTTTCACTATGAATATACCGCTAGAATTGGAAATAGCATTCTGGCCAAGTAAAATGCCCTCTGTGCTTTTTCCTTCCAGTACACTCAATTTTAAAACCCCAAATAAAATCTCTATGGGTTTTTAGGAAATAATTTTTGCTTCACTGTCTTTCACATGAGTTTAATCATTTATTCTTCCCATCACAGAAGTAATGCAGTTGGAGAGCTGCTATCCAACTGCTATAAACGCATTACAGTTTGATAAGCCTATCTAAGAGGTGGCAGCCCTACGTTTGTACTACACATGTGCACTTAAAATTATAAATCCCACCTTCTGAGCATCCGTGAATAGCAGAAGGGGGCAGGGTGAACAGATGCTGAAGTAACCCATGTGAACAATCACAAGGTCACACTAGCTTCTTTGGCTACAGCACTGCACACTTGGGTCTGACTGTCCATATGACCATTATATCCAGTCTGAGGCACTACAAAGATAGAAATCTTATACTTTTTGCAATGGCCGGTATTCTTTAGTCTGCTTTTAACTGTATTTTTTGCTGTATTTTTAACTTTTTTTTTGTTATATTAATACACTGTTCTAAAGGACTAGTTAGCGAGGACAACTACATATGCCAGTATGCCTTTACTGATCAATGGGTAAAAAATTAGTTTCATTCACAAGTATTACTTCACATTTCCTGTCAAATATTTAGAACATTGATGAACTTTTATCATAGAACTTTTCTAGTTCAAGGTTCTACATATAATAATACTCATAACGCATTCCTCCCTTGAAAATGTTGCACAAGCTTATGATCAAATCTGAAAATTTTAAAAAAAAAAAAGTGGTCAGGAAACATTTAAACAACATGAACTGTCAATACTAACATATAAAGAAGCACTGAATATAAATATTTAAAAACTTCATTTGCTTTGGCTTTTTTTTTTTTTTTTTTAAATAAGATCAGGTAACTGTTTTAAGACCTGCAAGATTAGCAACATTCTGATATTAGCAGTTCACTGCTGGACAGCCACTAACCCAACGCTGGGCTAATTTGTTTCATGGGACTCAGTTTCGCGCAAATGTTTACTGAGAGATACAGACACTTGAAAAAAAAAGTCTGCATTTGAATATATAATTTCCAGGTGACAAAACAAAGGAAGAGAAGAAACTGCAAACAAGAGTTAGACTTGCTTGAATGACTTCAGATCAGCTCTCTGCTTAAAAAATAAAAAATCCTCTAAAAAGTAGAAAGTTTTTGTAGCCTGACAATAAATTTCATCAGTAAAAAGCATTATACTTTCTGTAAATCAAAAAAAAAAGAAAATAAATGGCTTCTGAAATGTCTAACTCCAGTGTTTTTATACTCTGGATAGTACTTTTACACATGCTTTTAAGAAACTATTCATGATACTTTTGTAAGAGAACAGACATACCTCAATATACTCAATACTTGATTTCTCTACCAAACAATAAACAGTTTTTCAGATAGATGCAATTAAAAGCCAAGACTAGCATCTCCAGTGTGGCACGCAGTGTTTCTCTTCGCTATGAAACTGGACAACAGCTCGGTACCATCACTTAATTCTGAAATGCACACTGAGTGTCACTAAAGGTACTTACTGGCTGAGGCTTGAGGTTGAATGCGAGGTATTCCTCCATTTGGCACTTGGAAGTTTGAGTCACTTCTGCTGTTTTTCACAGATTCAGCTTGGATGTTAGAGGTCCTGGATAAGTTTGGAAGACTACGCCTTAATTTTTCTATATGAAACAATACAGAGATACATGTGATCTGATTCAAGAGACAGTTCATACAGTTCAACATAGTCAAATCCAAAATATAAGTGACACAAATGTAACTACGTAAAACTACACTGCGAAGTAAAGCATATTTTGTTACATTACAGCTCAGAATATCTTGAATTTGAGTTCTACATTATTTTCACATATATCATCGATACAATATTTATTTTAAAAAGCAGTAACGTGCAATTTTTACCTGCAGTGAAAAAAGTCAAGCATGCAGCATTTTGCAATTGAAGATTTCTAGATTATGAGATAATCTAGATTATATCTAGATTTTGCTTCTCTGGGTTTTGTACTCTGGTTACGTGAACTGAATAGGCAAACATAATTTGCAGTTTTGCATACTTTTGGAAGTCTTTACCTGGAAAGCTATTTAAAACATAAATTACATGCCTGAAGATTAAAAACAGATAATAGTTCTTTGAATTAGTTTTCAAGACTACCCAATCCCATTATCAGCACGTGATACAACAAAGAATGGGCACCCATTTGGAAAGAAACTCTCAACAACAGCATTTCCTAACTACAGGAGTGTCCAATTATGCTTTATATTTCATGTATGACTTGACTATCTATTCAGCTAATACTGGCTTTTTAAGGAGCTTCTAAAATTTGTACCATTGCCTGCAGGATATAAAATTAAGTCACTGAACTTCTGTCAAGTCTAATGATGCTCTGTACATCTCCAGCCCACGGAGAACTGGGTTGATGATATACTTTGAATAGGAGAGGGGAGCAGACGGCTTGTCAGGACGAGCGGCCAACCTAATTCAGAAGAGGGATGCAGGGAAGAAGTGCTCTAATCACGCACAAGCACTAACGATGAAAAAAAGAAATAAGAGTCTTCCTAGGCTGAGTAGTCCTACAAGTGTACTTTCTTCACTTAGTTGGTAGCTTGCATCGCATTTGGTAGCGTCTTGACCATCCACATTTCCCTCTAACCACTCTAGTGTAAAACAAAAAAAAAAAAAAAAAAAAAAGAACACCTCACTGGCTCTTGGTGTATCAACCCTTTGAATATCCAAGCAACATCCAGCTGTGCAAAAACCACTACAAGAGAATTCCTTGAAGTGTTTCAGAAACACATGATCACACGCTGCATTTTGATCCCTCTGGTATGTTGGACACTAGCTTTTGGTACCCTGCCTGTCCTAGGATATTTCTGGTATAGCTTATCTAGCATGCATTAAGACTTTCATGAACCCTAGAATGAGAAAGGAATTTTCAACTAAATTACAATATAATTCATTAGCTTTTGTGTTGCATGTTTTCCTATGTATCTAAAATTTCTGCAAACCACTGTTACTGTATGACTTATGCTAGTCCTTATAAATATATTCTTGATTAGCTTGTTAAAGCTGCAGGATCAGCTTCCCTAAAAGTTTTAATCCAGCACACTGATTCCCCTGACTAACATTTTCTTAGTCAGTGAAATTCTGTAACCTCACTATCATAGTGGGAAAAAAATCCAACAGAAAACAAACTGTTAAAAAATGCATTTCTACATCATTTCTCCTGCAGACACTATATTCAGCTTACCTGAAAAATTAAAAAATAAGGTGAATTATTAATATCTAAATGTATATTATTTCTAAATTTAATATCTGTTATAATTCAAGATTATACTTGCCACACAACAATTACATTTCTTAAAATGGTAACACGCATGTGAAATTTCAGCCCAATTAAAGAGTTTATGCTGGCTCGTTACTAGGACAAAGTACATTCAAGAAGCAAAATCATATCAGAACTACGTCATCTTGTTCCTTGACGGTATAGTACAAGTTTCCTGCATTTTTTTTGTTGTGCAGCAGTTTGCATAGCTTTGTTTTATCTAAAATATCCAACAGAGGCATGACTTAAGTACTAATACTTTTAAGACTGCGCTCATGCTCAACGAATTCACAGCCCTACGCTGCCATAAGAAAGTATTCAGCTATCTCAAACTCGGCAATCACAGTCCTGTGTAAATTGCCACAACATGCTATTCTCAGCTGACCACAGTTTTCTCTCTGTATTTTTTTCTGTCATCTGCATGGTGTGACCCTACTCGTGAATGATGGTTTTGCTTATGCTCTTACACTGCTTTATTCTCATACTATTATAGTAGGAATCGGTTACACAAAACTTTACACCCAGAGTGACAGGATAACATCTAGAATAAAGTTGATGCCTACTGACTCATCTGACTGTAAGGACTCCACAGCAAAACTTATACGCTGCTTGCTCTGCTTTTTCCTAAACAACTCAGAAATTAAACATCGATGTTACACAAGCAAATAGTTTTAGCCCTGCGCACTGAATAGAATTCTATACAGAAACTATCCAACTACTTTAGTACTTGCATAATGAATTTGAGACAGAGCTTTTTACCTTCACTTTTGACATTGCTAGTCTGTAAATCTGTAGGATGGCCTTGAAGTGAAAGACGAGGTTGCTGTAAACGGCTAATCATAGGTTGGGGAGATACTCTACTGTACTCTATGCTTCGAGCAGGTGATCGGGAACGAGGTGAATTCCTTGGAGATTGTTTTGGTGAAGGCCAGGGAGAGCTGCGAGGTGATGGTGAGAACCTGTTAACAGCAGGGTGCACTGTGTGATGTGTGCCATCTTCTTCATCTTCTAAACTCTGTGCATCAAGCTCCTGATCACTGAACGTGCCTCGTCTTGTAGAATTGCAAGAAGAACCCGAACTACGTCGAGAAGTAGTTGCTGCATACTCTTGCCGGAGACCTGGCAACAACGAGAACATTGTTTACCTGTTTACAGCATACAAACAGTGCAAACTAGAGACAGTGCACACAAGTGCCTACCCAGTTCTCGAACACACATTTGATTCATCCTAATTCCTTTTATTTGAGGCATTAAATTAATTCCAGATTAGTATCCAAGAAAGTTATCTACTGGCTGATAATCTCTGTTAGTAGGCGAGCTCATTCCTTTTCCTGCTAGAGCAATTATGAGTATAGTTGTGTTCTCTACCTGACCCTCCCTTTTCTGACCCTCAAAACTCACAGTACAGGCCACATCTTAATTTTGATATAATGTGACATCCTGTAACAACTACTTTAGCAAATGTTACCAAAATGCTACACGAGTAGCTATCCCTAGAGAAATTAGAGTTCAATTATATAATTAAAAGTACTACAACTTTTTTCAGTCTTGGAGGAGCCAAAAGATAGACAAGGACTCAACTAAACCTGAATCAAAAGAAACTACTATAATAGTGCTTTTCACATTTCTTCTTCGCTCTATTGACTTTACATTTTTGTGACTTAAATAATGGTTTAAGCATTGATGTCAACAAGACTTGATTACTTTGGGGAAGCACCCACGTCCAGAGAAGACCATTAATAACAGTCCAGCCTAACAACCATCCTTTTAGCATACAGTATACGCGATAAGTTCACACTCTCTCTAGCATTTCTTTTGTCCTTTGTTCCTACAGGACACTTCCACATAGCAACCTCCTCTCCTTAACTTGGAGATAAAAGTCCTTAGCCAGTCCTTCTCAGCAGAATTAAACTTGTACGTTCATATTACAGTCTGTACCTCTTTCCCCTTCCTGCTATGTAGCCACCCTTTAAGGCCTATGTTTCAAAGTGGGAAAGCATTCCTCCACCTAAAGCCTATGTTTTCCCAAAATGCAGTTAGCTTAAACATCTCCAGGAGTTCAAGACCACAATCAATAACTACAACAACTCTTGTACCATTCTTCTCCATGTTACTGCTCAGAAGCGCAACAGAACGCCATATCAGTACAAGACTTTCGCCAACAAATGCAATATAAATGCTTCACCATTCATCCTTTCCTGTTTTCCACCTCCCGCTAAGACTAGAACAGAGTACTTACATTACTAAATTACATTCCAGAGATAAAGGACATTACAAAAATATGGCTTTTCTTCATCCTTCAAGCTTATGCCCTTCCTTCTCAAATGTTACCAATTCAGTCCTCCTTCCCTGGCCTCCACCAGCTCTCTGCAGGAGAGTTCTGTAAGTCTCCCAGGTAGTACCTGACTTCTTACCTCTGCTCAGACTCCTTAATTCATCATTCCTTCTCCTTTGATTAAAGGATTCTTCTGTTCTTTCTTCTGGTGCTTAGTTCTCAAACCTAGCAATACCCAGGTATCAGTCCCATTCCAAAAACTTCCCCATTTACTTCTTCTCAAGCCTTTGCTTTATTGCCATTCCGTGACTGATTTGCCCATATACTGGAGGAACACACAAGTGCTCACTGCATCCATTTGGGATAGTAGAGGGTTATATAAGGATGCAATCCATCATGCTTTGATAGACAAATTATATCGCAGTTATTCAAAAGCAAAGATCAACTGCCCCGCTTGATTTTCAGGATGCAGAACACTTACTTTCTTCCTGCATTCGTGCTAAAATTTGCACATCTGTAACATCATTTAGCTTGTAATTTGATCCAATAGAATCTTCATCCATTTCTGAAGCACTTAACTCACTGTCCAGAGAGGACTGTGGACTTAGTGGAGGGTTTCTATCTGCTGAACTTTTAAGATGACCTACAGAAAGAAAATAAAGTAACAAGAGTAATGTTAGATACCAAGACTGACAGCCAATTGATTGCAAACTCAGGATGAAAACATCACTTACAGTAAACAGAGCTTAGTCGTTATCTTATAAAAATGAGTGACTTCATAAAATCAGTTATGATGGCAGAAGAAATTAATGACATATAATCCGGTTCACATGTACCAAGTTTCAACCTCTGTGAAGTTTGCGCAGCTCTCACAGAAAGAGCAATTGCATACCTGTTCTGCTTGTGCTTTCGTTCTCTTCTCCGCATATAGTAAAACATAAGTTTGAATACTTGCATAACTTTCTTATGCAATACAGATTTGCTGATCCACTGCATATTGATTCATTTTCAAACATTTAAAATGTAGTTTATCTGAAAATGTAACTTCTTGTTATACACACACACCTTTGCTAAACTATAACGTAGTAGAAAAACTCTTTCCTGTTCACTGCCTTTCTGCTGGCACCCTGCTACTAGTTACATTCCATCGTTCTATACTGCAGTCAGATAGAGGATTGCAGCACATAACGCACAGAAGAGCTACCTAGATTAAACTGAACTGGTGAACCTACTGAGGCACAAGCTTCTCTTTACAAGTCCATTGCAAACTACAGACAGCTGGACAGGTAAATGAAAATGAAATGCTCTTTCATCTTCCCCACAAACCTCAGTCAAAGTAAATACTATAAGCCAACCTCCAGACTTCACTGTACAGGTATGTTCCAGGTATCAATTTTCCTGATTCAAAGAAAGAGCCAAAGGTCCAGAATAAAGGCAGAAAACACTGCCAGAAGGAACTGTTTATATTGATGACCGTGAAGCCTCAGGGAACGTCTTTATTTGAAATATATGCTTTCTCCTTAGATTATATTGCTCACATCACAGAGCTACTGATGGATGCATTGACACTGTCTATATCAGATTTTTCAGTGAACACAAGTTCACACAGTTTTGCACAGAATTGCACAGAAACACTTTACAACTACTGACATGTAACCTTTAAACGTGTGCTATACAACCTATATTCCAGTCAATTACTGGGTCAATTCTAGAAGCTCCTTACATATGTTAGGGACCTCACAGTACTGCCACCAGGAGTTTTGATCTAACTGCTCATATGCACTGCTATCCTTAGAGACATGGAGATCCACAGAATACCTTCTTAATGGGTCTCATGCCAAGAAGCCTGTCAAAAAATCTTTCCTAAAAAGCTTAAATATCACATGACACAGATTTCCTACAAAAAACACACAGGTTTCTGGTGTCTTTCTTACTTTAGCTCCATGCCACTGTGATCTACCTGAGCATGTATTTTTGAAAGTAAGGGGAGGAGAGGAACTGCACACACACTTACCTGAGGAACCAGGAGGTATGAGCTGTTTCAATAAAGCAGATTTCACTGGTGTTGAGGAGGGAGAGTTGAAACCACTGCTGTAGGGACTACTAGTATTTGGACTATAGGAGCTTGTGTAACTGACCGCACTGAAAGGGTTATTGTACAAACTCTGTCTCTTGAGAACTGTATGAAAGAGGAGAGTGACAAATTATACTAAAGGAATCAGTGAAAAACAAATGTAATACTATATGATATTTTCAGTGTGATTTAATTACTAGACAAGCCAAGTAGAACATTGCAGTTGCCATGGAGTTTTCCAGCTTAGTCTCTTAGACACAATCCTACTGTGAAAGGAGTGGGAGAAGAGGGCAAGAGAAGATAACAACAATTATTTTTCCTGTAAAAAATCAGATCTAAAATCACTATGCCTGATTTTTTCTCTTCCACTCAAGATGTTCAACCTAGGCACTGGAAAGGAAGAGGGAAGCAACTCAAGAGACAGCAGCGGAGCTACCACAAATCTGTATGCAACTACATACACGCTAGAGCATATCACAAAGTATTCCAGTATAATACCTCAATTCACCTAGTTGCCAGGTTATGGAGTATGATTTATATAGCTACATATCAGTAAAATGAAGTAGGCTAGCCTTTTAGGTTCTCCTTTTATTTTAATACTTATACTAATACTTTCTAACACTTAATAATTATTAGAAAATTGAACTTTGATGGGGCAAGGGTGGAATTAAAGGAAATTTTGTTCCTTCAGTGCTGGAAGTATTTTATATCAAACTGATAACTGAATTCTATTTTAAAAGAAAATCAAGTATGTTGCAAAATACTAAACTGAAAGACAGAGATCAAAACTTTATGAAATGCAGTTTAGATTAGATCAGCTTGCAGCTTACCTAGCTGCTAAAAACTAAACCCCCTTTAAGGCATGACACTTTTGAAACTATGTGTGTATATATATACACACATAAAACTGACTAGCACAGGCCTAGCAAAAAACACGCAACAATACACCTAAGCACATCCTAGAAAAAAATGCGGAAATTAAACTTTTTAAAAGAATATCGTGTCACACTTCTGGTACTGAGAAAAAAGGGCTGCAGTTGGTAGAGTAACAATTAGGCTAGTGATAGCAGTGGACTTGAACATAGAGTTGAACCTTATTGTACCAGATAGCTTGGTACTGAGTTGTTTACTAAAAGTCCTTTTATTCAGTGTAAGCTTTTTTTTTTCTTGATGTTACAAGCAGCCAAAAGAGACCATGGCTGCACAAAATGCTGCCTTCAGCAGCAAAGCCTTCTGCAGCTCCTCCTCCCACCTCACTTTGCTCTTGCTCACAACCTCCTCAGTTGTCCAATACAAGCACTTGTGAGTCTGCACTATTATATTAAAGTTTACTTTACTATTAAAGTAAACTAGAAAATTTTGACTGAGTTTTTCAGTTTAACAGCACCTCAAAAACCACTGTGGTAGCACAGCTGAACGTATGGCAGATTGTGACACAGAGGCAGAAGCAGTAGAAGAGTTGACTTTGCTGCTGACTAGCAGCAGGTTCTTTAAACTACATCTCCTATAAAGATCCTCTCCAGATGCTAAACCAGTTAATGTTAACAGTTTTAATTAGAGCGCACAAAGAGACAGTTACAGATTGAGGAAGGAGAGTTTATATTCCAGTTTTTATTGCAAGTCCTAAATGGTATATTCTAATTTCAGAATGAGGATGGTGAATTTTAGCAAGTATTGAGGTATCTCTGTTTCATTTTCCTAAGAGTGTCAGCATGGAAAGCTGCATTTCATTATAAAGCTCAGTTAACAAACAGGTAGTTACAAGCAGGTTATACTCTGGGTGACTCTGATGGTATAACTCCTTTGGCAGCATCCAAGCAAGAAAACAAAAACATCCATTTCAACAGAACCGCTGTTCTCAAGTCAAAAAACTATTTTCTATCACTTGCTGAAAATGATGTTAAAAACCTGAAAAGGTAAGTGTGCAGAAGAGTTTATTGTGTACTTATGCAAATTAAAATATTAAACATTAATTAGGAAACAATTGTGATACTATATCACCTTAAAATAGACTCTTTGTATATAGCTACTGTGATACAAAATGTTTCATCACACATTTCTTTAGAAGGAAAGCACCTTTCTGTTCCCTGTTACATAAAGAAACTATACATGGCACAGCATTTTTCATCCTAGGTCAGTATGAACTTGTACCTCCCACTAGCACAGTATCTTTCCCCAGAAAAAAAGCTGGATTCAAACCTTCTTCTAGCCCAGAGTTCCCGAAGATTTGCCAATAGAGATTTCTAGAACTTCTGAACACATCATTGTTCTTAAAATAGCTAAAGATATGGTCTTTATTAGGAGTATTAGACAGCCTTAGTACATAATAGGACTGATAGCACCACTTTCATGTTAAAAAATTGAGTTAAATAAGATGAAACATCAGCTTAATTAAGATTACACCTTAGCTTTCAAAGCACTTGAGGGGAAGGTTACTGATCAGATTTTTTTCATCTTAATATATATTTTCTTTCACACTATTCAGAACCAACATGCAGTGCACAGTTTGTTTTAGACAACAATTTGTAAAAGAGGTCTTGAATATCTCTTTTGCTCTAGAAAAGAGGAATAGGAAAAACTGAGTGTAGAAAACTCATGCTTAAGGAATTTAGATCTATTTTACGAATCAAGATCATTTTTCTGATTCTTGAGAGCTGATATTTATTTTTGTTACAATTAAGTGGCAAATTCATTCTGGCAGTTCCTGTAGTAATTCAAACCAGTCATTAGTGAAGTCTATCACTGACGCCAAAGCTAGCTAAATAATGGTTAGTTCTGAGCAAGCTCAATGCTTAATTCAGAAATCATACTCACTCAGCATGGAAAATATGACAGTTCTTATTACACATATAGCCACACAGTTCTGCAATGGGCTATGCTGATCATGCATTTGATACCAAATGTCAAAAAAAAACAAAACAAAACAAACTACTGCCTCACAGTTAAAACTCCAATATGACCAAAATTGCTTTTTTCTGCTTCTATTTCTTGACCATGCAACCACATCTTCAGAAAGTATGTTCTCTAGAAATTGTTCTCTTGGGTGCAACATATCTGTGTTCCTGCAGTTCCTTTCATAAGGTACTCTTATCAGCAAAATCCCGATACCATTTTAGATTGCCATGTGGTGACAGGGTTGGTTTCCAGCCATTCACTCTTGCACTTTGGACCAGCGACCTGAGGAACAGCTGAGAGAGGTCTGAGAGGCTCCAGGATGTGCCTAAGGTTCTCTCTAGTCTGGATATGCTTCCAAAACTGAGCAGGACTCACTCTGCAATTGTGAATCTGGACTCAAGAGTGCAAAGGCACTGTGCATCCTGTGTTCTTAGTTACTTTTAGCCCACAGTAACAAAGAGCTGCGAACCTGTTTTCCCTTTTTTTTTAAAATCATGAAATGGAAAAAAGAGGTTATCTATGGAAGAGAAACTGAATCTGGAACACAAGACTACCACTTGAGAGGAGAAATAGCAGAAACAGATTGGATTAGAAAGACATAGTAACAGAAGCTGATGAAAAGAAACATCAGCAAGGATTCAGGAGACAAAGTAACAGACCAGTACGAAAAGCCTTCTCAATTGGAGGCCGGAACTGAAATAGATTGTTTCAGTAAATAGTAAGTTGAGTGACAAGGGACTGTGAGGTACAACTACAATAATATGGTACATGGCACAAGATATTCTAGCAGTCACGGGGTACAGAACAAAGAAGGTTACAAAAGTCCCTTCTCCAGTGGAGCTTCTTGCTACCCTATTTCTATAAGTACTCTGCTTTACTCTGAAGGACAATCTCCTTTTCCATTATAAATCCACTTTTTCAATTCATGCAGTCTTCTCCAAACAGCAGTATCAGTACCCATTTCTTTACCACTAATATTTTCCCTTATTAGTGCTGTAGGTGAGTTGCCATACTCTTGCAGGTACCACTGCTACAGACAGACTTTCAACGCTAGGAAAACAAGAGGCAAAGCTGTCTAAAGATAACTTGAATAAAAACACTTTCACGTTACCCACTTCATAGACGGAACCTCCCTGCCACTCTGCTTCGGCTGTTACTAAAGAGAGACACGGAGCTATTGGAGCAAGTCCAGTAAAGGGCTACTGATGTGATCAAGGGACTGGAGCATTTCTCCTGTGAGGAAAGGCTGAGAGCGCTGGGCCTGTTCAGCCTGGAGAAGAGCAGACTGCAGGGGGATCTGCTCAAAGCGAAGGTGCCAAGAGGATGGGGCCAGACTCTCTTCAGTGGTGCCCAGCAACAGGACAAGAGGCAACAGGCACAAACTGAACACAGGAAGTTCCGTCTGAACCTGAGAAAAAACATCTTTTCTGTGACGGTGACAGAGCACTGGAACAGGTTGCCCAGAGAGGTGGTAGAGTCTCCTTCCTTGGAGATTTTCAGAAGCCGTCTGGACACGATCCTGTGCAACGTGGTCTAGGTGACCCTGCCTGAGCAGGGCAGTTGGACTAGATGATCACCAGAGGTCTCTTCAAACCTCAACCATTCTGTGAAACTTTTAAAGATACCATAAGTGCTACAAAATCTGTGGTACTTTTGGAAGATTTCTGCTCAGTTCTGACAAAAATTAAGCCACGAATAGAACTGTTGCTGCTTATCCTATAGTGGAATCCAATCCTATATACTCAGCTCAGTCATACTACAGGATCATAACTTCTCCAAACACCTAAGCTTGCATCACAATTCATAAATTCCTGTGATATGGGCACTTATTATTTAGAATTTTAGTCTACGTCTACAGCAATCTATATACCATTTTAACTGTTTGCAAAAACAGTTACTGGACATTTGTGAAATACACACAAAACAACAGATAAAGATGAAAGGTGACCTCATTAAAGGCTACTGTCACCACTTTAATCACTATCTGTATAAGAAAGGGAAAGGATTTTTCATTTGAACTACTAGCAATATTTTAAACTTTATTAAGAAAAATTTCAATACAAATCGCAAGAAAGATGGAATTGCTCCAGAGAGGAATTCAAGGAGGAAAAAAAAGTTACAGTCAAATAAACTCAGCATAACCACATAAAGCAGCTGGTAGCTGGACATACAGGTAGAACTAAGTGTTCAGATGTTCTTAGTCCAAGTCCAACCATTCAGCTAATTCCTGAAGATAAGTTTAGGAAAAAAAAATTCCATGTAGTGCAAAGAGATAGAAATATGGGGTGAGAAAAGAAAGAGTAAAAAAAAGGAAGGCATGCCATAGCATAATCGATTTTTTAAAACAAAAATAGGTTCTAGCAAAAAAAAAGTTTTAGAAAATAGTTAAAATTTACAAACAAGTATAGAGCATATGCATGGAAAAGTAGTGCTGGTTAGTTCACGAGAAAAAAATTATAGCAGTCAGGTGGGCAGAGAATTCTAGTTTGACCTTTGACATTTTACTGCTAGTAAAACATCAAAAAGGCTGGTAACAAAAAGATGGATAAGGCACGCTTTCAGCCTCAAAGGGCCAAGTGCTCAATCCTCCTCCAGTTTTGAATATAACCTACTACTTCATTTCAAGAAGGAATCATGAATTCTGGATTTCTTAATCTGATAATGGCAAATCTTAAATTACTGGGGATAGGAGAAGAAATCAATATTCTCTCCCCAAAGTATTTCATTTCCTTCATTTCCTTAGCTGAAAGAAATAGCTCATCTAGCAGAAAACCAAGCTCTGTGCTAACATACTAGACAAACTTTTAATAGTTATGCTAGTTTAACAGAGTTTTGGTCTAGCATGAAAGAGACTTTTTAAAAAAAAAAAATCTCCAAGTTAAGGACTTCATTTCTTCCTGAAAACTTCTAACCAAGTTGTAACTACGTAAGTCACATAAAACTCTGAGATCATGACTCGTGGTCTACAGTTTCTTTTCATTTTGTTTATATAGTCCCCAAAATGGGGAAAGAGAATTATTATTTGCAAACCACTACAAAAGCATTAGATAGAAGTATCTGCTGCATCTCATCCTCTTCTCTCAATTATCATCTAATTCTGAATCCTCTAACTTTGTTTCAGAATAAACATACACAACCCAATGGTGTCTGTATGCATGAACTCACCTGACATTGTCTGTTCCAGCCTGTGGATCAGTGATTTTTTAGCACATTCAATGTCAGGGCTTGGGTAATCCAACACCTGCCTGCACCAAATTAATGGACTAATAGATTTTTGCATTGGAGTCAGTTTCTTCTTTGGAGAGGCATATAACCTGAAAAGGAGAAAAAAAAGTCTGTGAAGATAGATAAAATGGGCATAAGATCAGACACATGAGAAGATACCACATACTACACTATTTCTATTCTTAGACTATATATACAGTACAAATCCCAAAATATCAAGACAGCACAAGTTTTACCTTTAAATTAACTCACTTGGAGACAGTATAGTTCTGACAACGCATGCCTATCCAAGGATTTCTGGCAAGAGCTGAAGCCTATCTTGATAAACTGGAATACACTGATATGCCAGAAAAAAAAGGTCTTCACTTTTCACACATCTTATATGTCTATATTATAGTGTATGGGCAATTTCACTGTGTCACATCAACGCACGACTCAGGATTAACCTTTTGAGATTTAAACTGCATCTACTTTACAAGTAAAGAAAACAATATATAACTGTTTTCCTAAACACAAAGATGTAGCAACTGATAAGCATCATCACCAAGCAACAGCACAAAACTGAACACAAAGTTACAAGCACAGAACAAGTCTAGTATTTTAGTATCCTTGAATGATAAACAATGTTTTATTTTACTTATAATTTGTATCCTAGCACCTGATCCTCCAGATCTTTTCCTTTCAACACAGGACAAGAAGACTGTCTTTGTCCTAACGGGTGTACAGTCAAGCATTAAAAACAAGAAACAAGAGATAATGCAGATATAGGACAGTAGGGGAAACAATGAGACAATACTGTGGTGTGGGACATGCTGAGGCCTCTGCATATGAGCATCCTCGTTAGTATATTTTAACTTCAGTGTTCTCTGACCAAAGAAATAAATATTCCACTTTAAGGGCTTCAAAATTATCCAAAAAGTTCTCCTCCCTCAAAAAAAGTTTAAAGAAAAAGTGATATCCAATCACACACAAAACAGGAATATTTAAGCTTCATCTTTGGACTAAAACCAAACTTGGAAATTTGGTTCAAAAAGACAGTGAACAGCAAGATCTACACTTCTAACTAGAGCTTTTGCATACACAGAAATGATTAAAAGAGCATTTCTTCCAGAAGGGTCTGATGACAGACTTGATATTGCAAGTGAACGCGGGTCTACACTATGCACTATGGCTTAGGAACATTCAACGGCCTAGTCCACCACACTCCTACACAAAGCTGACAGCAAGAATTCTCGTTTTCTTTGTGCCAACTTCATCAACAACACAGAAGTTATTCTCCACAGTAGTATTATGAGATTAATTGATCCTTCCTCTGTAATTCTTGAATTCAGTTTGTTTTATAAACAGCTTCAGAAGTTTTTTTAAATTACTATCCTGAATGTCACTTTTTTTTTTTTTTAAACAAAAGCCTCCCAAGCAGCATGCTAAAACAAAACAAAAAAAAAAAAAGAAAGCCCACTCTCATGCAAAACACTGATCAGCTTGTTTAGAACATGCTTTAAACCAGCCTTCCCTCAAATATCAAGATTAAAAAATTAGTTTGGAAATGCAGGAGAAAGTCTTTTTATTAGTTGATGTTTTTTAAACAAAAATTAAACCGTGACAACACAACACAGCACATAGAAAACTGTGGAAATTGTGTGATTTTGGCTAATCTCCATGATTAAGTATTTAATTAACAGCGCCAGCAGAAAGTTCTTTCAGCACGTAATTCAGAGGGCAAAGAAAAAAAGCCCATTTCATTTCCATGAGTGCAGTCTCATCTTTCTCTGTTTATGATACAGTTTGGGTTCAGTTTTATTACTGTACCCAGAATACTAGAATTCAGACCTGTCCACACCAGTTTTATTCCATTACTAAAGAAATTCTGAACAGTTGAGCAAACTTATTTGGGGGGGGGGGTCACATATAAGAACATAAAGGAATGTCTGGTATGATTACAAACTGCATAGTACCACAACATCTCCCTGCAGTGTCACTGGTCTGCACCGATCTTGGATATGCATCTGTCTCTCTATAGGATTAATGGATGGATGCTGCTTGCATAGCTTTTCAAACAGCCACTGCTACATACTGAAGTCCATAGCGCTTGCTCTCTGCCCAGTACCCTGTTGGTCATTAAAATCAGTTTCTGTAGAAATCATTATTCTGTATTTCATAAATGAAACAACACTCAAGAAATTATCAAGCAAAAACATGTTCACAGATAACTTAAGACTTGGACTCTCTGCAGACCTGGTTAAGAGGTGGAAACAATATTTTCAAGAACAAAACATTCACAAGAAAAGACAGCTTTAAGTAAGCTGACTACTGTGTCGAACTCAGACCAGGAGAAAAAGTATGAAGGTCATTTTATATATACATATATGTATATATAAAACATACATAAAGCATGTTATTATTTCCAGCAATATCCTCAGCACACCTTACAAGCACTCTGCCCACAAAAACGCTAAGAATCCATCACCTGTTTAAATCTCTGAAGATCTTTGCAGAGGACAGGACTCATCTGTTTCACAGGTCTTTGTAAACAGTTACACAAATTGCTATACTTTGTATGATTATCTACGTACAGCTAGAAGCAGTGTTCAGCATTTACTAGCTCTCTAACACTCAGTGAAATTGTCTTTTTACCACTTATTTTCTTGTATGCTTCTCTATCCTACGGTATGTTTACACAGTACAGAAGTGTCAAAGGGAACAAAGCTAACTTTTGTGCCGTACAGACTCACACTCTGGATAGCTGACATGCCTTGCTGTGTATGAGAAGTTCCATGCACGTTTGAAGTGTTTACAGTAACACCCAGTGTAATGCATAAGAAGTAAAAGTGCATGCCTGTTTTAAAGGTACAAAACTAGGATATCTTGAATAAACCTGCAAACCTAATCAAAATGGCATCTAATATTTTAAGCTCTAACACATTCATTTACTCAATTTTTCAACAGCTGCACTTGTCTCATGTACAGAGTATGTACCAAAACCGTGCCAGACACATATTGCAGATTCTCCCATGTCTTTCCAGTCCAGGTTTTGTTTTAACAGCCTTTACTTCACCTCACACTTCAAGAAAAGTTAAAACTTTAGAATATACATTTCACGTAACTCCATTACCTCATGATAAACACATGTGCATCGATGCAATGACACTGACTCTTTCAAGAGAGTCTCTTGCATACCATGCAGTTATGAAGTCCATAAGCAGATCCATAAGATCTTTATTCCCCATCTGGCATAGGACAATGTTAAGTTTTGAACCAGATGCAAGTCTGCCTAACTCTTTAAACCAAAATTAGGCAAAGCAAGACTGGGGCAAGGGGAAACTTCTTTCCTTCCTTTCTTCCC